TTAACCTCACTCAGGCTTCATACCCCTCCACCAAAACTACACCACCAACCAACAGGGGTTTCTAGTGGCCCCATTCAAAAAAAAGTAGAAGAGGTCAAGGCATGGCAGCGCACACCTGTGACCCCAGCACTCTGGGAGGCAGAAGCAGGAGGATCACAAGTTCAAGCCCAGTCTGGGCAGTTTAGTGACTTAGAGCGATCCTGTCTCAAAAGAAGTGAAAAAGGACAGGGCATGTAGTTCAGTGTGGAAGCCCTGGGCTCAACCCCAAGATTTCTTCAAACCCCAATGTTGCGCCTCTGCCCTCGGATCCCCACTGTCACACACAAGGGACGCAGGCGAGCGCATCTCCTGGGGCACTGGCGCAGGGCCGGACACCTCTACACACCCAACTGTCCTTCCCGGAAAGCTTCCTGCGTAAATAAAGAATAGAAATGGCCCATATGGACACGGAATGTTGTTAAAACCACTGATTAAGTTCTACACAACCGTGCAAGAACAAACACAAAGGTCTCAGCTTTTTAATTTAAGAAACGAGGCCTATGATATAATTTCAGTCTGCGATCAGGTGAGATGTCCGCGGCATCACGGCTGCCATGGGATTGCACCTTGCAGGCGCTATGAAGGGTCGGCTGGCACGGGTGCTGGGGAGTGGTCTTCAGCCTTTATTAACAATGCGGTAGCCGGAGCCTCGGTACAGACCAGTCCAAGGGGAGACACCTAGGTGCGCTGGCAGACGGATGGCTCCCAGGCGCCACCACAGCCACCTGACGTGGGGGACGCCCAGGGCAGGAAGGCCCCGGGAGCCTGCACAGCAGACTCGTGGCGCAAGTGGAAGCCAAAGCAGCCTTCAGGGGTTGGGAGGTTCCACCAGCAAGGGGCAGAGCAAAGAAGGCCCAGGTCTGCAGGGAGGAGGAGTGGGCCCTGCCCTCTGGCTGCACCTCCTGTGGGGTCAGGGGTCACCGGAGCTCATGTGCCCCTCGCACACGTGCCCCAGGCCCCTGGGCCCCTGGACCTCTCTGCCCACACCCTGATGTCCCCTCGGGGGACTTCCTGGGCCCTGATGTGCACCCATCCAGGCCCAAATGGAAGTGCAGGTGAGCATCCATGTGGCCAGGACCCCTGATCGACGTGGGCAGGGCCCGGCCCCTGGGAAGATGGGGTGACCTGTGGCTCTATCCTGCCGTGGGCTCCACAAACATTAAGGGGCCTGGAAGGGCCAGGCCCAGCAGACACGGAAAGCCCTGTGTCTCCCTCCGGTGTGGCCCCCGCCCTGAGATGCCCCCTGGAGTCCCAGGTCCTGGAGGCGCTCCCCGCTGGGCTTCTGCTGGGTGTCACGGTAAGTGCGGGATTCTGCCGGGTGAGGCTGAGCTCCTCCCACGGCCCAGCAGACCCATCGTGCCCTGCCCCCCTTTCCATGTGAAGAGGTAGAGGCCACCTGGGGACCAGGTTTCCCTCACTCTCAAGCACCCCCAAGCTAAGCTCCAGGCACCGTTCTGGGAAGCAGGTGAGCCCCAACTCCAGGGGAGATCAACAGCTCCTGGGTGAAGCGAGCAGGTGACAGTGCACATCAGGGCTGTGGTGCCTCTCAGGAGGACACTTTTACACAGGGACGAGAAGGAGGGGAGCAGCCATGTGCTGCTTGTGCAAAGGCCCTGTGGTGATAGGAGTGGGGGGGATAGCAATAGAGCTGAGGCTGGGGCCCCTGCCAGAGCCTATGGGGACAGGGCCACCTCCTGTGTTCAGGCCTGACGGTCACTGCCCACCCCAGCCTCAGCTCCTTGCTTCTCTGCTACAGCCACACAGGCCCTGGGCCAGGCCTCAGGCCATCACGGCCACTGGGCCCAAAGGTTTCAGTCCACAGAGCCTTTGTGAACACAGGATGTATGTGCAAGGAGAGCCCCCACCCCACATCCAGCATGAACGCCACTGTCCTGAGCCTCTTGTTCCTGCTCCTCTTCCCCTCCCCCTCTTTTTTGGGGGGAGTGTTTGGGGCAGGGTCTCATTATACAGTCCAGCCAGGCTGGCCTCAAACTCACAGTGATCCTCCTGACTCAGCCTCCCAAGTGCTGGGGTTACAGGTGTGCCCTGGGAATGTCCAGCTAGGATGTCTCTGTGGCGCTGAGGCCACTGTCTGCCCCACAATGCACCTGGATTACCTGGGGCGAGGGCTGCCTGACTTCTAAAGTACAGCAGGGTGAAGCCAGTGCCACCTGTCCCCAAGGGGGCACCCACCCAGTGACCCCCGGTCCGTCCTGCTCTGCCTGCAGGCTGAGTGGCCGTCCAGTACCCAATCAGCTCCTGTGCGCCAACGCCGCACCCCAGACCCCTCTGCCAGGGTTCCTGGGCAGAACAGCCAGGCCCCTGGCACACAGTGAAGACCTCCTGCCTGGCAGGCTCGGCGCTCAGGGACTTGAGCGCTCACACAGCTGGGCTTATGAGGCAGCAACTGTGCCCAGTCAGTGCCCACCTGACAGCACTGCGCAACACTCCCTCCCTTCCTGTCCCGGAAACCCCGTCCACCTCCCACACCTCCCCACCCGGGCTCCCAGGGCCCCTGCAAGGCACAGCCTAGGAGCCTAGCAGGTCACTCAGGTCTGCCCCAGGCCTGCATCTGACGTGCTGTGTGACTTCCAGGAGCTGGATCACCTCTCTGAGCCTCTCAGTCTCCTTACCCAGTAAAATGAAGCTGCTTTGGGGCGCTCCAGGCTGCCCTGGCCCCGCTGCGTGGCACTCTGCCTCCCCCTGGTGGCCAACAGGCCACACTGCCGCGGGTCCCAGGAAGGGTCAGCCTGGGGTGACAGCCCCAGGGACACACAGGGACAACAGGTCAGGCAAGGCTGCCAGGTCTCACCCCAGCTTCCTGCTCCTGATGAGGGGCCCTGGAGCCTCCGTGCAGGACTGTCATGGCACTGGTGGCCGAAGAAGGAGGCTGTCTCCATACCTGGCTGTATCCCTGCAGGCCCGAGACCCTGGCGACTGTTGGGAAAGTCGACTACCCTCATCTCCCTCCAGACTCTCCGGCTCACACAGCCTTTCTGGGCTCACAGGTCACGGTCCTGCTGCTTCTCTGGCCAGACGCCCTTCCCTGTCCAGCTCGGGACACCCAGGTGTCCTCTGGCCTGAGATCTCAAGACTCCAGGCCACAGAGATGCCATGACCCCCAGGGGCCACCTCGAGCTCCCTCTGCGTATCGGCCACCCAGTCTCAGGCGAGGCTCCCGCCAGCCCTCTGCACACACAGGAAGCGGCTAAATGCCCCCGAGTGAGCACAGGCCAGGCCCAGAGAGGGTCAGCACCTGCCCAATGCCACAAAGCAAACCCGCGCTGGGCACAAAACCGGACCGCAGGCTCCAGTGCCCACAGGAAATGCACAGAGAGCAGTAGGCATCGCCAGTCTGTTTATTGGGGCCAAGAAGACCCCAGGGAGGGAGCAGTGGAGGCGCAGACGGGCAGGGCGCTGTGCAGGTCCTGCGGCACCGGCGGAGAGCTCACTCCGCATGACTGCTTTTGCTCTTCTGGCCCCAGATCTTGGACAAGCGGAACTTGGACTTTTTCTTTTGCAGGTCTGGGGAAAGGGGCAGGTAAGGTTGTGTGGGGTCTTCCCTGGCCACCCGCCTGCCACTGCCCGTGCCCCCCACCCTGCCCCACAGTCACCACCGCTTCTGGTTCCCTTGTGTGATGGCACGTGTGCTCCCTAAGTGGGCCTGGGTCCCCGTGCCCTGTCCACGGGAGGGAGACCTGCCTGGCCCACCCTCCCCGTGCCGGCCGGGCCCAACCTTCCCTACCCAGCCTCTGGATCATGTCCTGCAGCACCTGGTCCTCCTCTTTCTCCCTGGAACAGGGATGGGGTGTCTGTGAGGGGACGTGGCCTGGACAAGGCACAGACACTGTCCCAAGCCTCTCACAACGAACCCCCAGCCCCACGCGACACCGCAGCCGCCTGCCCTCTCCAGGCCCAGCCCCTCAGCAGTGGCCCAGGGACAGCAGGAGGTCTGCGCTACCACGCCAGTGATCTGGGGACAGCAGGACACGTGGGGTGACCCAGGCCAAGGCCCACCAGCCTCACAGAGGCTCAGTTTGCACTCAGCCTTGGCCGCCCACCCTGTGCACCTGGATGTGACCCTCATTTGGGACACAAGGCAGGAAAGGTCTTTGGGAAGCGTGGGAAGCCGTGCGACCCAGCACGGCTGCCAGGAGACACATGGCGCTGTGAAAATTTACATTAAAAATAAATTTTAGATTCAGGTCCTCAGCTGCATGCGCCACATGACAGGTGCCCAAAAGCCACAGTGGCCGCCACACAGATAGTGCGGGTGACGAAGCATTTCTGTCCAGGCAGAGGGCCGCTGGCAGGGCACCCTGGAGGGGCGGGAAGCACCACCTCTGGGTGTTCCCAGGTAGCCACCTCTGCAAACAGCAGCCCGGGCCAGGCCTGTCCTAGGCCCCAGAAAGGAGGGGACACCTGTGGGAGATGCAGCGGTGGCCTCTCTCCTCCCTCGCAAGTGGGTGGGAAGGTACTGGTGTCAGGGTGGCTGGCCTGGCCCACCGGGAGGGGCCGGTGCCCTGCCCTGACCTCACCCAGCCCGTCACCTGAGTCGGTCCTCGTCCAGGATGTCCACAATGTCACTGCGGTCATTCACAGTGCTCACATACTGGCTCAGCAGCTCCTGCTCTCGCCGCCGGTCCTGGGGGGACTTCAGACCCTCTGTGGGGACAGCCTGCCCTCAGCGGAGGCCCCAGCCCCACACTGCTCGGAGACATGACGTCCCCACCACTAGGGGTCAGGCTCCTCCATGGCAGCTCTCGGCGCTAAGAGCTGAAGGGCCCAGCAGCCACCCTAGCCTGGAGCTGAGACTAGGGTGGACCCTTCCTTTCCTCCAGGAAGGCTGCCTGGCATGGGGTGTGTGGCAGGCAGGGCCCAGTCCCATACCAAGGACAGGCAGGGCAGGGCTGAGGGCACAGGACACTTGGCACTGCCCCGTGGAATACACACCCCTCACCGAGGCCTGCGCTATGCCTCACACACACTAAACCCCGTAACATTAAGTTGGCTGTGAGTGACGCTTCGACATACTCACTGTGCAGGGGGTGAAACCAAGCACAGAGAGGTTAAGTGACTTGGCTGAAGACACAGAGCCAAGAGGTGGAAGAGCTGAACTCAAAGTTGGGCCTGCCTGGCTTGGCCACAAGAGGACACTACTGACCTCTTGGGGACAGAGGATATAACCTGCTCAGGTAGGGCCACCCCTCTCTTTGACCAGCCTGGACCTGTGGCTCAGAGGTGTGGACGCACCAGGCTTGGCCATCAGCCTGCGGAGCTCGCCCTCCAGGTCCAGCTGCCGCTCCTCCAGGCGCTGGGTCTTGGACCTGCGGGCACACGGTGGTCTGAGCCCCGCACCGCACCGGCTGCCCCTCTGCCGCCCGCCAGGATCTAGGCGGGGCCTCACTTGTACATCAGCTCGGACTCCAGCCTCAGCAGCAGCTGCTTCTCGTGGACAAGCCGGAACCAGGCCACCATGAGGTCGTCCTCCTCGGCAGCTGCGGAGAGGAGTGCTGGTGGGGAGGGTGCCAGGCCCAGCTCCCTCCCGACACCGCACAGGGGGACAGGGACCCCGGCTCAGCGCGTCCCCGGCCCACATGCTCACCCCCATCGGCCGCACGCAGCTGCTGCTCCAGCGCGACACCCCTGTGCTCCAGCGCGTCCAGCTGCCTCTCGATGTCCTGCAGCTGCCTCTCAATCTCCTCTTGGGGGACATAGTCGGGGTGCAGCTGCGGACAGTGGGGCAGGGTGAGCCCAGGCCTGAGGTCCAGCCCCACCGTGTGCCCCCCAGCCCACTCACCCTGACAGGAGAGCACATGGTCTTCTCGGGCGAGGCGGGGACGCTGGCCAGGCCCGAGGGCCTCCCTAGAGAAAAGCAGGCTGAGCTCCGCGGACCCCTCCAGAGACCCCTCCCCTCCCCCTGGCCCCCCAGCCCCCCAGGCTGCCAGAAGAGAGCACTCTGTCGTCACCAAGCATCAGTGACAAGGTGCAGGGAGGAAACTGGGGTCTCCAACCAGTGCTCCCACCCTATCACCAGGAAGACTGGGCTCCTCCAGGCCCTCCCTCCACTCTGGGCCCAATGGACTCCTACAGACCCTCTAAAGCCCCAGCATCCATCTCCTTAGAGGAAGCTTCCTTCATCCATACCCCAAATAAAAACAGAGACCTCTCTGGGGCTGACCTGGTTTGTCCTGAGAATGAGGCTTCTGCTTCCGGCTCTGGGCTTCGGCTTCCTGCCCTGACGGCTCCGACTGAAGCCAATCGGCAGACACATCGAGGCTGGGAGGGACGGCCAGTCTCCTGCGGGGGGATGAGGAGGGGGAGGCAGCTGCCCCCCGGTCGGGGACAGAGCCCTGTGTCAGGTCGGCGGGCTGGAGCCCTCCCCGACCCAGGCTGAGGTCACCACCCATCTCCCCAGTGAACACAGGGGCCGGATCTATGGCCCCATGGCCCATCCAGACTGGTCACGGCCATCCAGCGAGGGTCCCACAGGGTCAGTGACCACTGGGGCCACACGGGACGGGGCCTCAGAGAGGACCCAGATGCAGAGAACATGAGAGCACTGGGAGCAAACACACAGACACTTGTGTGCTCACATCCGAACACACACGCACACAGATGCACCCCTACCTGAACACACACCCATGCATGTGCATGCGTGTGAACATGTGCACAGATCCCACAGCCCCACACATGTATATATACCCCCACACCTGAATACACACAAAAACTCTGCACCTGGACGCGTGTGCACGCCATGTACACACCTGCCAGAGTCCACACACAATGCTCCACACTTGGACACACAGATACACACCTGCACACAGGGGCACACGCTGTGAGCTCCAGTGTATCCAGTGCTACTCTGCATCTGGTCATGTGTGTGCACACCCATACCTGTACCCCCGTGCATACCCATACACACACAGGCAAGGGCCACATCTGCTCATGTGTGCACACACATGAACACGTACACATACATGCCACATGTGCAGGCACACGCTGTGCACCTGGGCGGGTGTACACAGCACTATGCCTGAATACACATATGAACACACACACCACAGGCATGTGGCCCCTGGGGAGCCCACCCAGCAGTACCTGGGAGCCTGGTTCCTGGGCCAGGGTGGCCCGGTGTCTGCTCTGGCTGTACGTGGGTCAGGGTGATCCGAACGCCCCCCTGGAGGCCGCCTGAGGCCTGCACAGAGGTCCTGGGGGCCGCTGGGGCATCTCCAGCCTTTGGCTCTGCCGGGACCCGTGGCTCCTTCAGCTCCTTTGCCCTGGGCAAAGGCACAAGGTCAGCCTGGCACATGCGGACAGTCACTCGGGCCCCAGCACTGTGGTCTTACCTGAGACCCTGGCCTGTCTGCACTCCGGGCACACATGCATTCCAAATGCCACCACTCAGCAGTGAGCCCACTGCCCCAGCTGGGCACAGGTTCAGGTGTTCCCACGTGACCCAGGTATGGGAAGAAACCCACTGTGCTCTTGTACATGAGCTGTAGGCCAGAGTGGATACGCCACCCACTGCCCCATGTCCTGTATGTCATCCCTCATGCCACCCTGCCAGTGTCACCCTGCTGGTGTGAGCTGTCCCCTGCCACACCACGACACCTGCCTGGGGTCCAGCTCTTGCTGTGTAAAACTAGAGGGCACAGCGCCACGCATCTGTTCCACGCTGCCATCACACTCCCGTGAACACTCAGTAAGCACCTGATGTGTGCCAGGCCCTCACCTCCCAGCGGGCGGCTTCTTATCCACAGGCTTCAGGCGGGCCCTCCATCCTTCTGGCCCATCCTCTTGGCTTTGCTGGGGGCTGGTGCTTGGACCTGGCAGGGCCAAGGGGATGGATCAGGAGAGGCGGTGCCGGGTAGCGGCTGTCTGGGGAGGGCAGGGTTCTCCTATCCCATCCTCCAGCCACCCCTCTCTCAGATCCCCAGGACCACCTGCGCTGCATCCCTAGAGGAATCACTCCTCTTTTCTGGCCTCAACCTCCCCTTCTGCCAAATGGACGGGACTTGGCAGGAAGAGCCCTGGGGAATGGTCCTCTGTGCACCAGTGGAGAGGAACGGCTGGGCCGTGGTTCCCCTTGCAGACTCAGATCCAACAGAGGCTTTTCCGTGGGTGCTCAGCCAAAGGAAAAGACCCAGAAAAACAATTTTCACAGTGCCTCCTCTGAGCCCATCTGTCAGCCCGAGCCATCAGTAAGGTTTGCCCCAGATTCCCAGGTGACTTCCCAGGGGTTTGGTCCAGGAGCAGTCAGAAAGAGCTGGGGCCGAGCAGCGGGACCGTGGACACGGGAGGGGCCCATAGTAGAGACGGATGGGGCTCCGCACAGGGGCTGAGCTGACCCAGCTAAGGATGGAAGCCGCAGGGGGTGGGTGGTGGCACCCGGAAGGGACAGCATATGCAGAGTTGGCGACCGCCACTGGACGCTGCCACTGCCACAGAGGGAGCAAGCGAGGACAAGAACCCAGGGGAGGTTACAAGGTGGGGCTGCAAAGACCAGGAACCCCGAGACTGCAGACATGCAGAACAAAGCCCTGCAGGGGCAGCCGGGACTCAGACCAGAGCCAGACGGGATGGCACCGCAGAACACAGACCCCCACAAACCCTCACCAGAGACCCCCCGCACCCATGCTAAGGGCTCTTACCTTTTGCCGTCGGGGCCTCTGGCTTCAGCCTGGAGTCTGTCCCTGCCCTGCTGACCTGTGAGGACACGGCCGAGCCCTTGCCCACCTGGGATGACCCAGATGCCTGTGAGGTGTTGCCCACACTCGGGGCAGACGGCGCCATCCTCGAAGTGGAGCTGAGGGTGCGGGGAGCGTCTGGCTGCGATGGCTTGCCTGAGGGAACTGCTTTTGGACCTTCGGTTTTAGGACAGGAATTCACAGCGGGGGAGGACCTGTAGGTGAGAAGCAGGCACCAGGCAGGAGCGGATCCAAGAGCCCCTCCCAGCACTAGCCCCAGGCAGGAGCCCCACAGCCTCCCCTGAAGCCAGCTCCCAGGGCCCGCCCCGCAGAGGGAGGACAACCCGCCCAGGGGAGGGTGGGCACCCAATCTGGCACCTGCATGTGTCTGTGTCTGACCTTACTCTTCTGTTAAATGTGGTGTCGGCCGAAATGGAAACGGCCCCAAACTACCCCTATGAGGGCAGAGCCCAGCACCACAGGGACTTTGCCTCGGAGGGCCCTCCTCAGAGCCCTGGCCTGGGCCTGCCTTGCTTGGTTCCAAAAAACTTGAGGGCTACAGCTTTGGGCCACTGCGTCTTGGGGGTGCACATGCACAGAGGAGGTGTGGGGGAGCTGGTTGGTGGACCCCAGGGTGGGACCCTGCAGTTCCTATTCCCTGGGAAGGCTGGGGTGTGACCTTATTTGGAAACACAGCTTTACACACATAAGCACATTAAGATGCACTCATGCTGGACCAGGGTTGCCCTAACCTAAAGATGGTGTCCTCATGACAGACAGAAACAAAGACACAGACGCAGCTGATGGTGGAGGCAGAAATGGGGCGAAGTAGCAGCCGTCCCCTGAACATCCTTCTTCAACCTACCTGCCAGGCGCCTGGGCGCCAGCCGCCTCCACCCCCGAGAGGGCCTTCTTGATAAAGCTCCGTGCCTGCTCCCTGCTACTGTCCTGGGAGGGGGTGTTGGCTGAGGTGCGGGTCTGGCCCACAGGGCCACTGCTGGGGGCAGCTGGGCTCTGGAAGAACCTCTCCCGGGCCTGCTGGGTCCTAGTGGCCGAGGGGGTCCAGGCTGGGGGGTCCACTGCACCCGAAGAAGCTGAGTTCGAGCTGAGCTTGGTCACAGCAGCTGATACTCGGGATGCCCCGCGGCCTTGAAGCATGGCTGAGGAAGGCTCTGGGACACTAAGGGTAGACCGAGAGCTGTTCGTCACTGGACCCTGAGCAGATGATGTCCACCCCACTGGGGTGCTATTGGTCACACGCGTGCCGGCTGTGCTGTGCTCCAGGCGGGAGGCCACTGGGCCCGCAGGCAGCCTGGACCCTGCCGGGCTCCCCACGTGGACAGGAAGGGTGGAGGGTGGGGGCTCAGATGGAGTCCGAGCAAAGCCTCTTGTGGTCGTATTGCCCACTGCAGGCTGCTGGGCTGCTTGCTGGGCCTTCGGCGCTGCCTCTCCCTGCCCATTCATCTCCTGGGCCTTCCGCAGGACGCTGGGGGCCCCTGGCTCCACAGGAGTGGCCCCTGGCTGTTTGGAAGCCAGGGCCGGTGATGTGGCGTTCGCCAAGCTGGCTTTGGAGTGATGGTTGGTGCAGACAAAGGTGCCCGGCTCCCCAGCGGCCCGGTAGGCCCCGGAGCGCAGCGTGCTGGAGCACTGCTTACACCTGCAGGGAATCCCAGGGCTGGTCAGTCGTGTCCTCCACATGTCCCCACTGCCCAGCACACACTGATGTACTCCTGTACACTCATGTGGTCACTGATTCACTCCACAAACACACCTCTTCCCGTGGCTGTAGGCTTTGTGAGCCTCGGCAGGGCTGCAGTCACCCCAGGAAGTACTCTTGCATGTCAACAAACGTGTGTGCGCATGCTCACACACAATCACACAAGCATGCACGCTCATACACATGCAATTCCACTCAGTCACACACATGCACACTCCCATGCCATGCATCTATGCAGTCACACGTGCAAGAATGCACACTCACACTATCACACACACACATGCATATTCATGTGTGATCACACCCATGCACTCACAAGGCCCTTCCACAATCACACTCGTGCATGCACACCCACACACAATCAGTCACACAAATGCACACACACAGACATAAACACACGCAGACCACCCAAGCCCCACTGTGGGACTGACCCCCCAGCTTTGCAGAGGACCCTGAGTCTGCCCTCCAAGACCCTTCAGCTGAGAGCAGCAGAAGGCAAAGAGGGGCGACCACGGCCCCAGGGTATAAGAGCATGACCAGGACAGCAGCAGGCCTCTGAGGGGATGCTGAGGGGCAGGGGCAGCAGGACTCAGCCAGACAGTGTCAGACCCCGGGTGTCTGGGAAAAGCCGGGCATCTCCAGCCAGGCTGAGGAGGGTGTGACCAGCTGGGGGTCAGGGGAGCCACAGGAGGTGTGCCCAGTGTGGGCAGGAACCTACCTGAAGCAGCTGCGGTGGTAGAGCCGCCCATCAACCAGGTGCCGCTGGACCAGATGGACGTGCTTGCCGCAGACCCCGCAGGTGCTGCTGACTGCACTGCCCGCCACCGTCTGGCCCTGGGGGAAGTGCCAGGAACTGCTGAGTGCCACCCACTGTCCCCGGCTCCCACCTCAGCCAGGATCTAGCATAGGCGGCCGGAAGACCCCATTCTACAGAGCAGAGAACTGCAGCTTAAGGACCAGCTAGGCAGAGGCCAGGCCAGGCCCCAAGGCCAGGGCTCCAGTCTCGCCCTGGGAAGAGTGTGGGCCCTAAGAGCAGCCCCAGTGCCTCCTGTCCCTACCCCAGGATGTGGGGATCCGAGCCCAGCCCCAGAGCCCTGCCCTATCCTGCTCCGGCTCTTCAGAGCCTGGAGTGGCTGCCTGGGACAGCAGGGCGCATCTAAGCTTCAGCACCTTCCTCATCTCTACCTTTGAGAAGTGGGACCCAAAGCACACTGAGGTTGGCCTGGGAATAAAGGGCCAACCCAGCAACCCTCTCATCCCAGGAGGAGGCAAGAAATCTGCTGAGAGCCCAGAAAGGTCTGGGTTTGAGCTATTCAACCTGTATGGCCTCCTTAGGCCTCAGTTTACCTATCTGTACAATGGGCACCACAGCTGTACAGATGAAGGAGCCCAGGGGAGCCAGTCCCATGGGCTCATGATGTACAGCAGCAAAGGCTGTGTACTGCACCCCCCCAGGACCCTCCCCACCTGCCCAGCAGTGTAGGGGTTGCACACAGTCCTGCTGGCAGTGCTTAGCAAGAGCAGAGGAAGGGCGGGGGTGGGGGTGCTCACAGCCTTAGGGCCCCCGTCTGTCCTCGGAACCACAGAGCTTGTCCTGGCTGCAGACATTGGTAGCGCCTGGGCCGGGGCGGGTGAGGGCAGCTTGGCCGTTGTGGACGGGGCTTTCTTCCCAGATGGCGCCTCCTCGGGGTCCGACGGGGGCCTCTTTATGCCAGCCATGCCCCCAACTGGCAGGAAACACATGGGGTCAGGAGGGTCGGCCTGAGCAGCACCCAGCTCTGTGAGGGCCTGTATCCCAGCATCAGGGTGCCCAGCGGGGGCCTCTCAGGGCTCCTAACAGGGGCAGGGTGGGGAGCAGCACCCAGGGGCATGCTCTTCCCAGCAAGGCCAGGCCTGGCCCCCAGCCCCTCCCCAATGGCAACCCCAGTTTGGGGTCAGGGAAAAGGGACTTTTCTGTTCCTCCACAGGCAGGCCTGGCCCCATGCCCAGAGAGATTCCGGGGATTTCTAAAGCCTCGGGAGGAGCGGAGGGGTGAGGAGGGCCGAGCAGCTCCTCACACAAAGGCTTGGAAAAGCAAAGGCCTTGCCTGCAGCTGCTGCCCCTCTCCACTGGGCCAGCTGGCCCCAAAGAGGCCAAAGTCAGCACCAGACGCGGCCAGGCCCAGGGTCACACAGGGTCCATGGGGCTGCCCGGCAATGGGCACCAGAGCTCAGAGGTTCAGATGGGCAAACCAAGGCCCTGCCAGGTGGAGAGACAAGAGCAGAGCGCACCCTGTGTGGCTGAGAAGGAGGGTGGGCAGAAGCAAGCCGGACCACCGTAGAGACACTGGGGGACCGGGGAGCTGGGGGCTGCTGGGCACCTACAGGAGACACAGCCCCGGGGGCTCCTAAGCCACATGGCCTCAGGAAGGTTGTTTCCCACGCTCATGGGGAAAACGCACAGCAGCCCCCCACCCCCAGGGCCATGCTCCCAAGTGGGGAAGCTCGCCACTTGCAGGCCAGACTCACTGGGGGAGCGGCCGTGGAAGTAGTTGTAGTACTGCGACACATAGGTCAGGATGCTCAGCCGGTCCGGCACCTTCAGGGCCACCATATCCTCGGCATCCAGCAGGGCAGGGATGCCCAGCTGCTCCTCAGCCACACTGAAGGCCTGGAGAGGGCGGGGGTGGAAGTCAGCAGGGAGCAGGTCCAAGGGCCAAGCTGGGAGGCACCCTGGCCTCTTAGATGGCTGCCCTGGGCCCAGCTCCCTCCTTCCTAGGCCCACCTGGACATGAGGGTCATCTTCCCGGAACCAGGAGGGGCTGATGTCACTCAGTGGGGCAGCCCAGGGGGTTCCCGATGAGGTCCCGCCCCAGCCCACATTACCCTGGACACTGCCCCTAGCTCCCTCTGAAGCCTGAGCCCCGTCTGCCCAGACACCGAGCTAAGTGGGGACACAGGTCGCCCTGCAGCCTGGGAGCCCACGCCATGGGGAGGAGTGTGTGGGCTGGGGCAGGCCTGGCCTCCTACACTGCCAGAGTACCAAGCACACAGCAGGCATGGCGCATGGGCTCAGCACCTTCCCTCACCATCCACTGCTCTCGTTGAACACACACCCTGGCTCTCCTCATGCCCCTCCTCCTCCTGCGGGCCACCCAGCCCCTTCAGGCACCCTAGTCCTCCAACTCAGGCTCACTTAGAGACCCTCCCCAGCTGTGGCTAAAGATGGCTCCCGCCCACTCCAGCTGGTGCCAAGCCACCACACGTGGGGTAGAAAAGTTCCACGAAGGCCGGGCGTGGTGGCGCACACCTGTAACCCCAGCACTAGGGAGGCTGAGGCAGGAAGATCGCTATGAGTTTGCTAAAAATTGAGCTCAGAAAGAAAGAAAAGCTCCATGAACCCCTGGGCATAGCTGTTCTGGGGCCAGGACCCTGGGGAGCCCCAGGCTCAGTCCTTCGCTGGCCTCAATCCTTGCGACCTTCCACAGCCCAACAGCTCCTGGACCTCCCCATCCTCAGGGCTCCATCCCCACAGATGACAGGGCTCCGTGCAGAACCCAAATCGCACCCCCAGGCCTGCAGTCACACTTGGACCAAAGGCCTCGCAGAGCTTCTGACCCCTCCATCACACTCCAGAGTGGGGTCCCTCTGCGGCCACTGCTGTGGGCTGGGCCATCCACTCCTGCCTCCGTGTCCAATGGTCACCAGCTCACGCCTCCCAGGCATGAAACCGGTCTGTCCTGCACCATACCCTGCCCAAGTCCTGCCGCTGCCCCACCTGTTTGAGCCTCTCTGCTGCCTATGCAGGTGCCCTCCAGCTGAGGGCCTCTGCCCCTGCGGTTCTGTCTGCCTGGGTCGCCCTTCCTATGGCTGTCCCTGGCACTCCCTCAGGGAGGCCACCCCTGACCCACTGGCCCTGCCCTTCTTTCCCCCACTGCCCTCCACAGTACTGCGTCCTCCAGTATGGCTGGACACGGCAGCCGCCTGCCATGCTCGGCTATGAGCTTTTGAAATGTGGTCTTCGAGCCCAAGGAGCTGAGTCATAATGGTACCTCATTCTAACCAAGCTGCGGAGACCACAGTGGCTGGGCAGGTTTGATTGTCTTGTGGCTGCTGCCCCCCACCCCATGGGAGACTGGCACCCATGGGATGGGGGCAGCAGCTGGCCGACCCAGGACCACAGCCCTGCCTCCCACAGCCTCCAGGACCTCGCTCTGCCCTGGAAGCGCCAGGCCAGGCCACCCACAGGGAAGGAGACCGCTGGCCACTCCCTGCCCCTCACGCCCCCACTGAGGAAGAGAGGGTGTGGGCAGGGCGGGGCACTGAGACCAGCAGCTGCTCCCAGAACACCAGGGTCCCAAATCAGGCCTGGCCATCTGCAGAGGGGGTTGTGGAGGCGCAGAGCTCTGGCAGACTTCTGCACAGCCCACAGGAAGGCTCGCTCCCCGCTCCCAGACCCTGTGGCACTTGCTATGGGCCAGCTCTTAAGCTGGGGCAGGGTGGGCAGGATGGGGTCGGTATTGGGGCTGGGGTCCAAGTGACTTACAAGTTTGTTGTTCTCGTAAATGTTTTCCTTCCGGAGGGCACTGTAGTTTCTGGAGGATAAAAACACTCGTGTTGAGAGCAGCACAGGGCCCAAAAGGCAGAGGCGGGTGGGGCTTTGTGGAGTCTGACCACCGCCATCTTGGTCTGAGCGGAGACCACTTTATTTGTTTTTGAGACAGGGTCTGAGTATGCAGTTCAGGCTGGCCTTGAGCTCACTTTGTAGCCCAGGCTCGTCTCGAACTTGCAAAGATCCTCCTGCCTCAGCCTCCTTAGTGCTGGGATTACAGGCATGCACCACCACACCCGGCCAGAGACTACTTTAAATCCCTCCCCACCGCTATACTTTCACACCTGCTGCAGCTGTATTGTCACGGACGATAAGGCCCAGTAAGCACAACTACACCCTGTAATTCCCAATCACTGTTCAGTTCTGCTCTTTTTTTGGGCGGGGGCGGGGGTACTGGGAATCAAACTCAGGGCCTTGTACTTGCCAGGCAGGTGCTATGCTGCTGAGCTACATCCCCCCGCCCCAGCCCTGCTCCCAACAAACAACACGCAATTCCTTGTACATTTTCAAACCCTATCCCGGACAGAAAGCCACAGCTCCTTTGTGCTGAACTCTCCCCTCACAAAAGTCCCACTGTGACTTTTCCCTTCCACGGCCCCCCATTTTTATGCTCCTGACTCTACAAAGACCTTGTAGCTTGTACGAGTGACGAGGCTGGTCTCCAGCGCCAGAGCTGTTCCGCTCAGGTTTGCTCTGAAATAAACTTGCCCTGTTGAGCTTGTACCTCTGTCCCTTTTTCCTAACAGGGTCATCTTGCCCAAATGGGGAAACTGAGGCTAGGCGTGAGGGCTGGGAATGAACGCTGTCTCCAGGAAGGCAGGCTGGTCCCAGGCTGGGCTCCTGATCACAGCGGGCCACAGCAATGCTGCCCGACACCCGGGGCCCTGCAGCCAGGCACAGAGCCCACAAGGATCCCTACAGCTCAACCTCCATATTCAGCCCTGGGGGGCTAAGGCCTTGCCCGTCATGCCTGCCCCAGTCAGGCCCAGAGAGGCAAAGCTACCAGCAAAAGGGTAGCCCAGCAAGGACACAGCTCAGAGCAGGCTAATTCCAACATGGAGCTCAGTGACCTGGTGGTGCACAGAGGGCAGAACAATGGGACATGAAAGGCCCCCAGGGTGGAGACAGAGCCTTTACACAGACCGACCCGGCCAGCCCGTAGTCATACAGCCCACCTATCGGTCCTGTCATTCCCTTTTATTCTCAAGGGACCTCCTGAGGGCTGGTGCTGTTCTTAAACTTCCACCCTCACCACCACACTGCCCTGCGGCATGGACACTGGTCACTGAGGGATACGCCCAGGTCACACGGCAGGAGATGAGAGGCCCAGTCATGCTACAGCTCCTAGTCCAGGCATTTGAGGTCCCACCGTTCCCTCCATTCATGGGCGCCATCTAAGTACCCACCAGGTGTGCAGCCTCATCCCGGGGAGGGGTGGACCTCAGAGGAGAGGGCACTGGAGCCTGGTACAGGACCATAGGAGTGCAGGGGGCATAAGAAACCACTGCAGTGAGGGCCAGGGTCTCAGTGCACACACCCCAACACGCGCCCACACGAGCACACCCGGATGCTCTGCCAGGGCACACGCAGGCAGCCCCAGCCTGCACAGCACCCACAGAAGGTGCCATCCAGGGAGCTGGGTGAACAGCAAGCTCTGTCCTTCATGTGCTGTCCCCGGGTCTAAGCAGCAGCCACTGCCACGTCAGTAACCCAGCCTGTCCCAGAGGTCCCCCGGCACAGGAGGGGCCTCAGCCAAGAGCTGTGTCCTGCTGGCCTCGCCACTGACCCCAAAGCCCTCTTCTCAGCCGACTGACAGCAACCAGGAAGACTGGGCAGGTCTCCAATGTAGAAGGCTGGAGCTGACCGCCTGCAGCCACCTGGCCTAAAATGGCCTGGCTCTGCGCCCAGTCCACCAGCAGAGGGCAAGCTAGCTGGGCTCTGTCCCCATGATGACCCTCAGGCCATGTCAAAAGCCCATTTTACAGATGAGCAAACAGGCCACATGGCGGGGAGGTGGGCTGCAGTTTGCCCACCTCCTTCCTTTGCAAGCCTCCCCTGGGGCCCCAGCACTGCTGGCTGGAACCACCTCCCAGGTAATGTCTCCCAGATGCCACAATCACCCTGAGGGCACAGGCATCTCTGCACATAACCGAGGGTAGACAGAAAGGCAAGAGAGAAACCACCATGTTTCAGCATCCGAAGGCCCGAGCGGCCTCTGTTCCCCTGGGCCTGTCCCCAGATGTGGTATAACCCAAAGTATGTCCAAGGGCACATAGTGGCCAGTCTGCACCCAAAGAGCCCGAGTCCTCAGCAACACTGATGGATCTGTGTTCAGCCTCTGGGCTCAAGAGCCCATTCACCCTCCCTCCTGCCCCCCGCCCCTTAGAAAGCTGGGAGCCTTTGTCCAGGCCTTCCATGCCAGGTCACTGAAACATCACCCCTGTGTCCCCAGCCCTGCAAGAAGGCTGGCTGGCGGGCAGGGAACAGGAGCACAAGCTCTGTTTTGTCTCTAAACAAAGCAGGGAAGGAGGCGTGGCTCCTGCCACAGGGCCATCCCACCCCCTGACCCCCAGCTCCAGGCAGACCAGGGTGCCCCAAGCCTTCCAGGCTTCCCTCTGCAGCTACAGCAGTGCACTTTGAGCAGGACCACGGCACACAGCATAGCTGCAAAAACAATGGCTGCTGGACTCTGGACCAAGTCCAAGCTGCTTCCCTGGGCCTGTGGGGAGGTCCACAAGAGGAGGGGCACCCTGGCCAGTCCCTAGGCTGCCACAAGCCTAGAAGACTTCCCCAAGCCTCTGCCGGAGCATCCTTTCCCAACTCTGCTGAGCCCACATCCCCAGGGCTCACGGTGAGGTCAGCACACGTCCCTGAGAAGCCAAGTCCTGCGGCCAGCACTGTGTTGGAAAGTGCCTGGTCAGAGCTCCTTGCAAGTCCCGCCCCAGCTGGCAAGCAGGGACCCCACCCATGCCTCCAGGAAGATCACAAGGCCAGCTTTCTGCCAGCGGGGAGGTCACCGGCCTTTGGGGCTGAATTATGCTCCCCTCCAAAAAGTGACCTTGGAGTCCAAGCCACAGAGGTTCCAAATGTGACCATACTCAAGAGAGGGGGTGTTAGTCACAGTGACCGAGTTCAAGCGGCCCTCTTTCAGTCTTACTTGTGCTCATCAAAAAAGGAAATGCAGACACAGAGCTGAGGACATGAGGACCCCCAGGGACGACGCTGTTCACAGGAAAGAGGCTGCGAGCAGACTCCTCACCGCCTCAGGAGGAACCAGCCCCCCTGACATTCCAACCTTGGACCTCCAGCCTCCAGGACCTCGAGGGAATTCATTTCTGTGGCCCCAGCCTGAGACACTTTGTCATGGCGGCAGGAACTGACTTGAGCTGAGCCAGGGAAGGCAGCCAGCTTGACTTTAAGGACTCAAGACAAAAGCTTCAGCAGCAGCCACCAGGGAGGCCTCCCTGGAGCCGAGAAGCACAGGAGAGCAGGCCCCAGCCCGTCCACCTGTAGTGTGGCGGGGCAGGACCCAAGACACCCTCCTGTCTTCCTTGAAATCGTCATCATGTAGAATCAGTGAGCTGTGGTTCAACCCAAGGCATCTGCCACGGGCCAAGGCACATAGTTGGTGCTCAATTTGTGTTTGTTGATGACTTCATTCGTGCAATCCTTGCTGCGTGAGGTTCCTGTAGCATCGGCTTATTCTTGCAGCATTAGCCAAATGAATGAAGTCAAGAGGCCCACAGGTCAGTCCAGCAATGGTCCACGGGTCAGTCATCTGCCATTGCATGCCCACTGTGCCGCCAGAGGCACAACCAGCCAGCCCCCTCCAGCACCTCCCTTGGGCTGTCTCCCTCGAGCCACTCTGGACCTCACACTGTGAGTTTCAGCCTTGCAGGGGGCCGGCCTCTTTCCCCTGGGGCTCCAGGGAATGTATCCCCCCCCACACTTCCAAATCCCAACTGGCTGACCTCACAGTGTTTACTTCCTGTAACTAACGCAGCCACACTACGGTGAGCCCCTGGGCTGTGAAGGGAAAGCACCACCAAGGGTTTTTCCCAGGCACCTCCAGCACATCTGGAACCAATCCCACCAGGAAGCGGGCAGCGAGGGGGACAGACAGACAGAGGCCCAGAGAGGGATCGGGACAGTGGAATGGAGAGAGACACCAAGACAGCAGCCAGAGCCCTGGCAGGGCAGGCGAGGCAAGGAGGGGGCCAGGCGGGGCAGGCGGGGGCTCCGGGAGCCAAATGCTGCCCTCACCCGGGAATGAGCAGCAGCCTCCTCCCAGCCGCCCTGGAGAACTCTGGCTGGGGGCAGCAGAGGTCTGGGCAGCAGCCCTTAGGCAGGAATAGAAAGCCTCTGTCCCCAGGCAGCTTCCTGCTGACCCAGGGCCTGTGTGGGAGGAGAGGTCAGCCCCGCCTCACCCAGCCATCCCCGGCTCCCGCCTGGAAGGGAAAAAGGCCCTGCTCCGAGGCTTCTGGATGAGGTCTCCTAAGGAGTCTCTCCCTAGCCCCACAATGCCAGTCTCCAGCCTCGGGGAGCCAGTGGGAGCCCTGCCCAGCATCAGCGGGCCGCTCTTTAGGGCTCCGTGCAAGGCCACCTGGCCGCAGCCCTGACAGAGCTTGAGGGGCCTTGAGGAAGTTCTAGTCTCCCCACCACGCAACTGAGGAGTGGGGAGTCTGCAGAACCCCAACCTCATGACAGCTTCCCCAGGGTTCCTACAGATCCCTCCGAGCAGGAGGCCCATAGGCTTCCACCAACCTCCTTTGTGGTCTGGCCAGTCTTGGGCTCCTGGCCCAGCCAGCAGGGAAGACGTCAGCCACATGGGTGGTGGCTCTGCCCTGGAGCCGGGAGGGTGGGGCCTGTGCCAGGCTCACCTGGCAGCCGGCACAGGCAGGTCGTGGCGGAAATGGGCCCTGTGGTTGCACCGCCAAGAACTGTCCAAGAACCAGAAGCTCTGGGCGCCACGGGGCAAGGGCCAGACCCCTATGGCCACCTCCCCATGGGTGGCACTACGTGAGCCCATCTCCTGACCTGTAAGGGGAAACACACACCTACTGGGGCCCAGAGGCCACCCCACCAGGCTGGCTCAGTGCCCAGTGCCTGGTCCCTCACAGCTGCCCTCTGCTGAAGGCTGAGGAAACACGCTCAGCATGCAGCAGGAAGAACTGAGGTCAGACAAAGAGAAGGACTTCCTGGTGGCGAAGCTAAGGACACAGAGACAGGATATCAACCTTCCTGCTGCCTGAGGGGCTTCAGGGGAAGGAGGGGAGGAGGGGGTGCTGGTCAAGGTCTCAGGCAGTCTGGCGTCAGGCTCCCCTGAGTCCCTGCCCGTCCGCTTTCCCCGGTGGCCGGTATATGCAGGAGGGCGGCTTAAGGCTTCACAGTGAGGATGGCGGGGTCAAGGCAGGAGGCACAGATCCAGGTGTTTCAGCCTCAGACACAGGGACACAAACACCCCAGTCACTCTCGCCCACCCCCACTGCACCCCGACCCCTGCCCAGTCCTGTCCCCTTTCCCATCACTGCTGTGACCAATGCCACAAATGGAAGTTTCACACAGGACCTTGCTCCCTGGAAGTCTGGAGACTACCGGTCCAGTGTTAGATGTGACAGGCCAGGAGAGGGCCCTTCCAGCTTCTCATAGCTCCACAAGTCCAGTGGCCCCATCTCTCTTCCTTGGCTGTATGGTCTCCTCTCCTCCCTACTGCACACAAGCACCCACTGAGCTCCTACCACATCTGCTAAGCCCTACCTTCCCGCTCTTATCAGCAAAGCTCCAGCTGTGTACAAATATCCGCCTAGCAGGGTTCCAGGCAGGGATGAATAACAGCCACCCCAGCATCAGGGACAACCAGCCAGAGGGTCAACGACATAACTCCATCCCACGGATAACTGTGGCCAGTCAACTCTTCTTCCAGTTCCCTTCCTGCCTCAGCCCCTAGCTTTTCTGGAGCGGCCCTGAACACTGCATCTCTGGGGCTAGGGTCTTGTACAGTACAGCGCAGGCGCTTAGCAACTGTCAGTTAAGCGAACAGCTCAGTTATATGAGCCTGCTTGTGCCAGCACTGAGCACACACTTACACACAAGCACATCTCTGCGCCTGGGGGTAGTGCATGCCGGGCCAGACATACGCACGCTGCTAGGAGCAGACGGAAGCTCTCCAGGGCAGGAAAGGTCTCCTATGTCCAGTCACACCCACCCCAGGCTACAGGGAAATCAGGCAGCGGTACCATCTTCCTGTCTACTTTAAGACTGGTCACACTAGCTTCTTCTGGGCTGCCTTGGTTCAATGACCTGCCAGCTGCATCCTGGACCCTGAACCCCAGAGAACCCAGCTACTAGATTCCCCATTCCAGGTCCTTCCCCCAGCCATCCCACCCCTAGGCCATCTTCGAGCGGTTGATAGCACAGCACATGCTGCTCCAGTGCCTGCCCTGGAGAGCCAGCAGAGGGTGTACCGCGAGGAACAGAGGCTACTACCCATGGACCACGTGGATACACACACACACACACACACCCCCACACCGGTGGCTCCACAAACTCATTTCACAACCTGGGTCAGGAGCCCAGGCCTCTTGCTCAAGACTCTAGCTTCCCAGTAAGAACAGAGCTTGGTACCGGGAAGAGCTGAATGCTCGCCCTGACTCAGCCTGACCCAAACAAGGGTTTCTCACTGGGCCTCAGTGTCCCTGTCTGCAAAGCAAGGGGCCTTGCTGACAAAGGCCAAGAAAGTGCTGCCTTTCTCCTCTGCCAGTGCCAAGAACTCTTCAGCAAACACACCCTCCCCCTAGTCCAGGTTGCCACCGTGACTTCTCAGGACAGTGCTTTTCCCAGAAGGTGCCTGGGCTGCAGTGGCCTTCTGAGGGCCCCCTTCCTATGCATCCGTCCACCAGTCCAGGTTAGATATGTGTTCCCCAAAGCCAGATCCCAGCCATTCAGCCAAACGGCACGCATACAACAGATTCAGGCTTGGGCCAACATTTGGCATCAAGGGACTGCGCAGCCACCCCTGCCAAAGGCCCCCTGGAGAATGGGCCTGCCCCCAGCCTCTCCTGCAGCTGTATCTCATCTCTTATCACCCTAAGTGTAGGACCTGGTATCTGGGGGCTCCATGCATTGACTGCCCCTTTCCTCAGTGACCCTGAATTTCCCAAGGTACCTGGGCTGGTCAGAAAGGGGCAGTCCCCACACTGGACACCTCTAGTGACCCAGTCTTGTGGCTAGGCCCCAGAGCATCATGCAGTCTCCAGGGCCTAGAGGGCAGCTCTGTCTGCCCTTTCCCAGGAGCCAGGGCACTGCCTGAGTCACCACTGACTAAGCCTTCGAGGCCACCTCCTCCAGCCACAGCCCAACGGCACTTGGTGTAGGACACCCTGAAGCCCCAGGACACCCTGAAGCTGTACCTAGGGCACTCTGCTCGGCCAGGCTCAGAGCAGTGTCCCCAAGCTCTGACCGTGCCCTAAGTCTCAGTTTCCCCAAATGTGTGGGCACCACGTGGCAGGGTCAAAGGGAGCAGGCGAAGCACAAGGCACTCACATGAGATCAGGCCGGTGGCGGTGCAGGATAGCGCAGAAGGCCAGGCCGTCGCGGAACGAGGTTGTCATGTTGGTGATGTCCACGTCCCGGTAACCCTCGCACTGCTGCCGGCACCACTGCTGCAGCGCCTTGATGGCAGCCATGCGGGCGGCGGCGCGCGGGGCGCTCCCCACACAGGTCCAGCCCGAAGAACACGGAGGGCGGGCGCGCGGAGAGACGAGGCACTGCCACCGGCGGGCTCGCGGGCCGAGTGCGGCGACCGCGGAAACCAGAAGTGCGGCCGGCGCGGCGGGACACAGAGCCTGGGACCGCCGCCGCCGCCGCCCCCGCCCCCGGAGGACCACGCCCCTTTCGAGCCCGCTGCATGCAGGCTCCACCCACGAACAGCCCCCGCCCCCAGCCCTGAATCCACAAGGCCCCGCCCCCGCGCAGCTTGGGCTGCGCATAGGCTTGAATCGGGCTCCCCGTCCCGCCCCCACCAAGGACACGCCCCCCGCCTTCTGGGTCCCGGCGAGGGGCGAGGGGCTTGTGGCTTGGAGCTACCTGCGGAGCGGAGGTTTCGGCTTTCCTTTCTTTGTAATTCCCCACCTTTCCGCACCCCACCCGCCCGCCAAGGAGAAGTGGGAGGGAACGCCTGCTGGCGAACGGGGAAACAGCCTGGAGCAGACTAGCTCCTGGAGAGCAGGGACACCTTGTTTCGGGGTGTTCAGAGCACTTCCTGGTCTTGCTTCGCTCCTTGCCTGGTCACTTCGGGCACTGACAAAAGAGGAAACTCAGACCGGCAGGGTGAGGACGTCCCGGGACTTCTTGTCCCTTCTGCTTCCCAGGTGTCCACTCAGTTTCGGACACAGCAGTTAAGGGAGTGAACCCCGCAGGCCCACAGTGCCCCCTCCCCAGTTCTGCGGTAACCCTGTCTGTGGCCTTGCAGACTGGACCGATGGAAATGTGAGATTACCTGCCCTCCTGCCGGGCCCCAGGGCTTGTCTAGGCAGGGCCCCTGGGACACAAGGTGTTTTCCCAGACTCACCCCCTAGAACAGAGCCAGGGCAGCGCGTCTGTGCCCCAGAGAAGGAGCGTACACTGAGGTTTTCTGACCCCAAGCCACAGCCGTGGCCTGCATGAGGACAGCCTGCTGCCCAGCAGCGGGCTGCCTGTGTGCATGGTGAGCTCCCTGTCCATGCCAGCAGCTGCTGGACAGGGGCTACCCAGTGGCCTGGGATTGTCACCCTGGCCCTACCTAGCCAAAGTGACTGGCCTGCTGTCAGACAAGGGACACCCGCCAGTGCCAGTTCAGCACGGCTGGTCCTGGAACCAGGTTTTCTTGACCCTCCGGGCAGCAGTTAAGAGAACCGGAAAAGCAGGTGAGGACCAGGAAGTTGGGGTGGGGGAGGACCTGGGTGGCCCAGGGGCCAGGTAGGTGTGGTGGGTTCTGAATCCCAGCGGGGCAGCTGCACTGGAGAACCCACCCTCCCATCCATCAGTCACCACGGGGCTTCCCCTGCCAACAGGGCTTGGGAGGTGGCATTTGTGGTGGTCCCCCAGCACCCCACATGGCATGTCTTTCCAGGTTCCCCCAAGCCGAGAGCCAGGACACTCAGCCTGTGTACCCCAGCCCCCTGCCCACCACTGCCGCCCTCCACAAAGCCCACAGGGCCAGGGTCCTGCTCCCCAGCTGGCAGCCGGTGGGAGCAGCGCTCCATCTGGCCCCTCTGAATAAAGTCCAGGGTCCTTATCAGGTTCCTGACTGCCTCTCCCTGCCACACCCTGCCTGGGGCTCCTAGCCTCTGGCTCGATACTGGCTGCACTGCAGGCCTCCTCCAGGACCCCACCAAGCCCCGCAGGGGCCACCAAAGTCTTTCTGGTCCCACTCTGCTCCTCCCTGGACCCACCCCCCCACCTGACCTTGACCCAACCCTCCCCACCTTGTGATTCCCCCCCACCTTCACCTCAGTCAGGCGCAGGACCTCCACTCACCGTGAGGCAGGGATCCTCCAGGACCACCGCGGGCAGAGGTGGAGCTGGGGATGGACTTTGTGTAGGGCAGCAGTGGCAGCCACATCCCCCGGCCGTCGACAGAGCGCTGACCGGGACTCTCAGCCACATTTGTTCCTAGCACTGGCTGCAATTCTGGCCTAGACAGGCTCCCTGAGAAGTCTTATTCCACCCATCCTCTACCAGGCCAGCACCTGGCCGGGGAGCCCAGTGACAATCCTCCAGCTGGGTTAAATAGCCCAGGCGGCCCCACACAGGGAGTGGCTTGATGTGGGAGAAGCGCTAGGAACCCATCACCTTCCTATATGAATGTCCTGACCTCAGCCTCAATTTTCTTGTCTGTAGGAAGACCACCGCCTCTCCCCTCAGGGTTTCCCATGGCTGGCACACAGTAGGTGCTTGGGCTGTGTGAGCTGGACAGGCTCCAGGCCCAGGGATGGGGCTCTAGGCCTCAGGCACTTTAGGGTTTGATGATCCAACCAACAGAGACAGACACACCGAGATGGAGACAGAGAGACAGAGACAGAAAGACAAACACAGACGTGAGAGAGACACAGATGGAGACAGAAATAGACAAGAGAGACAGGGAGAGAAACACGGAGACACACAGAGATTGCCGGGGAGAATGATAAGAACTTTTCCCATGAACAAAATAGTTCATTTTTATTGTAGAAAATTCAGAAACCACCAAAAGGAGAAAGCAAGGCCTGCGCTGATCTGCTTGTTATGCCTCACAGGGACATCAGTGTACAACCCAAGTGACATCTCCCTGCCCACACCCTCGCCCAGCATACACCATCCACCTGGATACCTGGTGCCCTGCAGGTCCCTGAGCACCCGTACTTTGCTGCCACCTGGTTGGCGACCTCCCTGTTCACAGGTGCGGCTCCAGGGACCGGAGGAGGGGCAGGCCAGGTCCCCCTGTGCAGAGCCAGGCTCTCCAGCAGCCTAGGAGCTGTGAGAGGACCTCAGGGTAGGAGCACAGTCTGAAGGTCGTGCCCTGTGCAGCCCTGGAGATGGCACTTGTATGACTGTCCCAAGAGCTGCCTACCTCTGGGCCTGTGTAGTGCGAAATGTCTACCACTGTCCACTGGGCGCCCCTGGTCTGGACAAGAATATTTGGGAGGGGAGGCTGAACCCAGGCTCTCATTCCCATCCCACTGGTCGTGTCCCTCAGAAGGTCCTTGTGCCCCATGACAGGCTGGGAGCCTACAGACCTGCATCTGCACAGTGCCTCCTGGAGTCTCTCCCAGCCCACACCCTTGTTCTGGGTCCCTCGAGGGCACTCTGGGGAGTCTCAGTCCTCTGCCTGTTGGCCCATGGGCAGTTGTGCCACATGAAAGTGTCCCGCCAATGCCCACCTCCCTCACCCAGAGCCAAGCCCCTGGGTGGGGACGCCCACCCCGTGCCCTCGTCCCTGCATGTCCATAGGCTCCACCCACTCCTGTGGCCTTGCTGGGCGCTGAGCCTGTCCCTGTCACTGAGCACGGTGGCTCTTTCCTTGGCTTCCTGCTCACAGAGAGGTGGTGTCTCCCATGGTACAGGACACAAAGCCATCCACTCCCCAGTGCCTGTATCCTTTGCACCAGACGCCCAGAACAGCTGCTTGTCCTCATCCCTGCTGCCCTAGAGCCCCAGACCAAGGTCACCCCCTCCCACGACCCAGGCCACCGTTCTGGCTGAGCTGAGCAGCACCTCCTCCCCTGCCTGATGTCCTCTTCATCCTGCACCCTGTGACACTGAATTCATATTGCAGACCCACCCCATGTGCCCATCCCCTGCTGCTTCCAAGTGGACTCCTGTGCCCAGCGCCTCCCTGGTGGCTCTGAGGACCTCAGGTCCAATGTCCCCAAACTGAACTCCAAACTCCTAGTTACCACACCCCCACATGGTCCAGAACAGCTGCAGGCCACCCTCCCTGTTCCTGGGCTCTTGCCACCTTGTTTCCCTAGAGGTAGGAAAGTTAGCCACTGCACACACCATCTCTTCAGCCACCCCTGGTCCAGTCACTGTCCTCTCTGGCACAGATTTCCCCAGGGTCTTCCAGGGTGACCCTAACCCCCCAGGCTCCCACGCACATCCTCAACACAAGTCTACCATGGGGTGAAATCAGGCCCACAGCTCCACCTCCTTCAGGAGTGGGGCAAGGCTTTCCTACCTGCCCCTTCCTCAGGCTTCTGCTGCAGGACATTTGCACATGCTGCTTTCTGACCTGGAAATCTCCCCTCTCAGATGTCCCTGACCTGACCCCATACTACTTCAAGCATCACCTGAGGCCTATCACCACTCCCAGGTTCCTACCCATCCCCTCCTCTTCACCATCTAATGTGCTCGAACTGCAGTGCCACTGTGTCCCCAACACACAGTAAGTCCTCAGAGAGCACATGCTGAGTGACTGTAGTGGATTGACAGCTGGTGGTCAACTTATAACCCCCAATTGAACTAAGTACGTGTGGTGCTGGGTGTGGGAGGCCCACCTGAAGACTGCTGTCAGCAGCATAAGAGGCAGAACTGGAGAAGTTAGGCTGTTGGGAGCGGAAAAAGGCTGTTGGGAGCTGGTAGAAGTTGTAAGGAGCTGTTGGTTCTGTTGGAGGATATCGTCATGCTGGCTTTCCTGATGAACTCAGATGTTTTCATCCTTCAAGGAGCTTGGGACCTTGTTGGCACTGAGAATGGTTTTGGTTCACTTTGGGGGAGCTCTGGTCCTCACTTTGAGCATTGCTTCCTGGCTCCAGAGGGAAAGATGGTGCACGGCCAGTTTCCTAGAGAAGCTTGCTGCGTTGGCTTTCCTGATGGGAATTCAGCCATCTTGATCATCGGAGGAGCTCGGGACCTCACTGTTGCTGAGGATGGCTGTGGTACCTTTCAGGGGAGCTCTGGTTCTTCTGAGCAACCCTTCCTGGCTCCAGTGCAGATCCCTCAGCCTGCTAGCACAGATCCTCATCCTGCTGGAACAGACATTGTAGATTCTACCACTGACCTTTGGACCTTCTCAGCGCATATCCGTGAAACAGGCCTGCATGAGATATTGTTATGGGCTCTAGGGCTCCAGGTGGACTCGTGGGAGGCATTGTTATGAGCTTAGGTCCTCAGCTGGACTCATGCAGGACATTGCCATGGGATCCAGGCCCTCAGCTGATTCCTTGGTCTTAGTAAGTGGACAGATCTCCTGCACTCCCTTGTATATCATTCTTTGGGTGACTATTATGAATAAACTTATAAAACATGTGTCCTTGTTATGTATTGTTTCCCCTTGCAAATAAGCCCCAAACCAACACAGTGACCCAGTGCCTGAACAGAGAGGGCTGTGGCAGGGTAGGGGACGGTGTCAGAGACATAGTTCTGGACTTT